ACTTGAAAACTGCTATGGATAGATTTGCAGAATAGGGAAGATGAGGCAGCATTATCAGAAAGGGAAAGATTGTGAACATTTGAATCAGACAAACCTGTGTTCATACGTTGGTTTTGCTAATTCTTAACTCTGTGACCTCTAGCAAGTTACATGAAACTTAGTATTGTATATATGTGTGTGTGTGTGTGTGTATAATACATGTCTATATGTATGTTGGCATACACATGCACACATACACACATACATGTGTTAGCTTCAGGAATTTCTTCAAAAGAATAGCTATTTTAGAATCAGAAAAAAATTAGTATAAAAGCAGAAGAGTTGATGTGGAAAATTATCAGCCCCAAATCGTTCAATTATCTATCAATTACCAAGAAGTCGTTGGCTTCCTGGTTTATACATTTGGGGTACACAGAATATTAAACAGAACTGAGGATTTAGAAATTTCTTATGGATCAGAAACGTGAAGATCTACGATTTCTTAATATTTCAAGAGTTGAGTACAGTGAGGAGTGTTATTTCCTATCTTACCCAGGACACCATGTTCAAAGTGCCCAGTTAAAGGAGTTCACTGTCTTATCAATAGCTCCTCAATAGCGGAGTAGTTTATCCCTACAAGATATCACCCTCAATACTGCCATACTATGAACCACAAACTACACCAGGGTTAAATGAAGACTCATCCATCCCAAACCCAAATGGGGTGAATTAGAATCCACATTCTGTCATGATACTGTTGATTCCCCTTCATTCAAGTAGGCTGACCTCCAGTGATAAAATTTTGTAGCATGGACCTACATATCCATTTAATATTTTTCTTGACAGGAGTGACAACCGTGCTCACCATGACAACTTTGAGTATCAGTGCCAGAAATTCCCTCCCTAAGGTGGCTTATGCAACAGCTATGGATTGGTTTATAGCAGTGTGCTATGCCTTTGTGTTCTCAGCTCTGATTGAGTTTGCCACTGTAAACTATTTCACCAAGAGAGGTTATGCATGGGATGGCAAAAGTGTGGTTCCAGAAAAGGTAAATGCTTTCCTAGTCCCCTTGATACATAACTATTATGTCTCTTTAAACCTATAAGAAGGAATGTTTGGGCTTGGGGGATTGCATGAGTATGCAGAGAGAGGAGAAATGAAGATTCTTTTTTTTTCTTATGTCATAAATAATTAAGTTCTAAGATAATTTTGTTATTGCTAAAGGGAGAGGTTGTTTGGGTGGATAGAAGTGCAGAGTAGACTGAAGGACACAAAACAGACACACGAAGGTAAAGATTTCTAGTCAAATACGCTTTCCTGTTGTCTCTATTGATTTGAGAACAGGGACAAACTTTTAACCACCCTGAAATTAGGAGCACATAAACTTACACAAATCCATTATTTATCAAGTCTATTATAATTTTTGTAACTTGAAAATCATAGTCTTCCAGTTGTTTTCTGAAACTAATCACTTCTATCATAAATTTATAACTAACTATAATACTTCCATTGAATTGAGTTTGCAAATTGAACCATCCACAATTTTCAGTGAAATCAAAGGCAAGCACATTTTCTCTTTCCAATATAGACAATTGCTTTAGGGATCATAACATGCAGACATTACCAAGAAATGTTTTAGAAATAATTTAGGAGGACTCGCGCTACAGCAGTTTTTCCCGAATTCTATTCTACAGAAGAATAGTGGTGTCTTGAGACAGTCCCTGAAAATTCAATTCTGTGGTCAAATCCACTTGAATATTGCTGCATTCTATATTGCATAATCAAAGTATGTTAAGGAGGCTGGAAGAGTCTATAGTATAAAATCAGTTAACTGTTTATGTCATAGTTGCACAAATGTATTAGATTAAATAATCCTTTGTGGTGGTAACATCTACAATATTTAATAAATCTAAGCTGCTCCACCTCTTGATGGCAAAGGCTGTAAGATATATCCATATTTTAAATTTATCCCAATAAGGTAGTCATTAATTATGTTTCTTAGATTTTCAAATAAAGCACAGACTTTGATTCCAAAGTAAGGGCTACTTTGCTTAACAACTTATAGTTTTTACTTCTCACAGTTTTACTAAACAAAATGCTTTACTGTTTTCTTTCTTCCACAGCCAAAGAAAGTGAAGGATCCTCTCATTAAGAAAAACAACACTTACGCTCCTACAGCAACCAGCTACACCCCGAATTTGGCCAGGGGTGACCCTGGCTTAGCCACCATTGCTAAAAGTGCAACCATAGAACCAAAAGAGGTCAAGCCCGAAACAAAACCACCGGAACCCAAGAAGACCTTCAACAGTGTCAGCAAAATTGACCGACTGTCAAGAATAGCCTTCCCGCTGCTGTTTGGAATCTTTAACTTAGTCTATTGGGCTACCTATTTAAACAGAGAGCCTCAGCTAAAAGCCCCCACACCACATCAATAGGTCTTTCTAGTCATCTTCCATCATTCGTCCTCTGCACTGGGAATTGCTTTATGTTCTCGATGCAGTAATTCCCATCTGCTTTATTGCCTCTGTCTTAAAGAATTTGAAGGTTTCCTTATTTCCATAATTCCTAATAAGAACAAGAGACCCCTGTCTGGCAGTCCAGAGCAGAGCGGAGTATACAGTTTGGAGATGGGATTCTGAGGGAGGAAATGAGAGAGCAAAATCATGTCAGAAGGAGACAGAACGAGAGAGGAAAGGAGGGGAAGAAGGTTCAAAGATAAGAGGGAAAGTAGAAGAAAAATAAAACTTAACTATAACCCCAAGGTCATTTGTAGATATATATTTCCAAATATTCTAAAAAAAAAGAGATACTGTATATGTCAAAAATATTTTTATGTGAAGGTGTTTAAAAGGATAAATTATAAATGTTTCATGAAGAAAAATTTTAAAAGATCTATGTCTTTATTGCACAAACTATGGCGTGCTTATGTTTTTGTTTAGTTTTTTAAGCTGATGTATAGATAGCTTTAACATTTTGTTTCCAAAGCTAAAAATCCCCATTTTTTTCCTCTTAAAAAATGCCTACTGCATTATTTTGTCATAAAATGCTATTTTAAAATTCGTGGAATTTCATAGGCAAAGGTGCAGCTGCTCACTGTAGAGCACATTTAGTCCAATGGAGAGAAATGCTTTAAATAGACTACTTCATTATCATCTGAGCTTTTACCACTAGACTCAAGGAAGAATCGTTTTAACAGACACATACACTCAATAGACACTAAAAAGAAAAATTAAAATAGAATAAAATAATTTTAAAATATTCCTTTTTCCACCCTATTTCCTGATAGCACATGGGCCCAATTATCATTTGATTCTCATTATAAAGATGTTTATAGAGGGGCAAAAATATTTTGCAAGCTCTAGAATTGTTGAATGTATTCTTTTATATAATGACATTAAAAGCTGTAGATTGAAATTTATGACTAGCAAACAAAAATAGAATATATAAATTATATATGTAAATATACAGCATGAGATTGTACATTTTTTACTTTTTTAAAAGTTGTGTTCTTAAAATATTGTGTAGGAATCGCCACTCTTAGCTGTTATAATGTTGTTAAATGCTATGGAAATGCGTTTAGAGCCTGCATTTAAGAACAGAACAGCTGGTAGGAATCAGATGGAACTTAAAACATATGGGTATGAAGTCCACTTATGTAGAAAAAGCTTATAATTTCAAACGTTGTCTCGTGTACAGTAGTAGATCAGTTGCTATCTGTTCAAGTCATGCCACACCCCATTTCCCTATTTTAGACTATTGTAATATAAAAAGAAAATGGGAAGCATTAGTTGGAGCTAGAAAAATCTACTGTACATTATTGCTATATTTGCTGATACCAACTACTTCAATAAGTGCTGTACCATATGTAGCATTAAATATAAAATACATAAAAGAATGTACAGAAAATAGCTTTTATTGAGTAATATTATTACATTTCATTTATACTGTAGCAATATATTTGTAGGTATACTATGTAAGGGCTTTAAATTACAGAGGTCCATTAATATTCTCGATAAAAATTCTAGTCTGTTTCATTACTGCCCAGATGTTTTAGAGATAAATATTTTATGCAGAAGGTATTTTTGAAGTCTCCTTTTGTCTGACAGAGTATCACAGATATTTAAATTTCATGTTCAGAATCCACAGGTCATGGTCTAAACGCATTTAGAATACTACAACATAAACCTGCTAGCGTAATTGCCAAATAAGGCAGTTGGGATCCATACCCAAGTTCTGAGCAATGTTTTTCTCAAAAAGCTGCTATCCAATGATGTAGGAAAATACACTGTGTTTTCCTAAACAAACTCTGGTTTTTCTTTTCAATGTGCTTCATTGTTTGATTTGGTCCTGCCTAAATTTCATGAGCTAGGCCAATAAAGGCTGAACCAAGGACATTTCATCCTCTGCTATTATGTATAGATATTATGTATAGAAAATAAAATAAATTATGGCTCTGACTTCTGTGTTGCTGTTTATCTTGTTATTTTTTGGCGTTAACCTAACATGTTTATTGAGAGATTTTAACCTTTCATACTCCTCATGGCTAACTTTTTGTGTGTGTTTTGTTCATTAGATGTGAATATTTCTTATTAGTCTGCTTTCTGCTATGCAATGACTGCATTTCTATCATTTCTTAGTTTGTTAGTATATGTGGATGGTATTCTACTGTATAAATTGATTGCACAGTTTATCAAAGACAAACTATTCTATGTAGCTTTTCTACAGTGCTTTGCTAAACCATGTAATACTAGTTAAGTCTTCCTTGAAAATAAAGATACACTCTTATAGGGGACAGTTCCTGTTTACTCCCAGGATTTTTTTTTTTTTTTAAAGATGACACTGAATGTTTATTGCACCTTAGTGCAGTGAAGTGGCAATAAAACTTAACATGAATCAAGGTTGTTTATGGCAGATGCATGTGTTGCTTTACAGAGTTTAGCAAAAGCTCTTAATTTTATGTCATACTGTATTCTATTATAATAATAAAGCTAACGTTATTCAATAATAAAGTGGAATACTTGACTCTCTTTTCACATTATTAAAAGGACCTTCCATTGTCCTGTTTTAACACGTTTTTAGGTTAGGAGCACCAAAAAGTACCAAGTGCTACAGGAATGTAGGCCACTTGAAAGATTTTTGAAAATGTCTCAATAGTATTATGCTAATCTGTGATTTTAAAAGAATGTCTTAAAATATAGAAATTTACTAAATACCTGGTTTCTGGTATTACCAGTAGCACTTCAAAAATTTTAAAACATAAACAGAACAGAAGCAAAATGCCGAAATGATAGTGACGTTTGCTCATATCTATTGTTAATATAGGGAATTTGTTTTCTGATATGCTCCCATAGACTCTGGTTTAATTGTTTTGGGAATGGAGTCTGAGCATTGTAGTTTTAAAAGCTCTCCAGATGACTCTTACGATGTAGCCAAGGTTATTACATTGTTAATATTTTTTATTAAATTCCTTAATATTTCTATAACCAAATAGATCAAAGTAAATAATATTTATAATCACTTGAAAGACAATAGAAAAATTATTTAAATGATAGGCCCACTTTCTACACACCAGACCACATAAGGAAAAATCTTTCTGTGTTAGATAGTGGCCATGTCAAAATAAAGTAAACTACATTTTAACAAATAAAGCATATGTTCTCCTTAAAAAATAATTTACAACTTAAAAAAATTATAATTTTAAAATTCTCCAACAAAATGATTTAGCCTATAAAACTGCCCATGTAAACGAGTTGAATCACCACGTTCATTGACTTCTAGGCTCTCATAATAAAAAGAATGTAGTGAATGATGATTATTTGGCTATCAAAGCAAACAATGTCAAGGTTCACCACGTAATTATCAAAGGAATTAAAATAAGAACGGGCTTGGCATTATTGCTGACCATCTGTTTGAAATTCATTGAACCAGTTAGTTATAACCTTCTGATGGAGTTTTCTAAAATCTATCCAGGTCTTATGATTAAGAACAAATATGTGACTTGATTATATTATCCTCACAATTCAGTCAAATAAGTTAACTTCAAATGTTGTTTTAATTTAATTAGACTAAATTCTACTAACTTTGCTGAGTCCCTTCCCTGTGCTAAGTACTGTGTTCATTGATGGGGATGGACAGGTAATTACGACCATTTTCCTTGAGGAAATCATAGTTTTGGTGGAGGAGGAAGACAGAAAATCAGACAAATATAATAAAATAAATATTATGATAAAAGTAAAGGATGCTAACAGGCACAATAAGGGAAGTACCCTGCCACTCTTCATAAGGTTAACAAATCTAATTTGTAGAAACTAAAAATGATGTTCAAGGTGACACTTAAGGAAATAGAAGAGGAATTGAAGCCATCTTAGACCATGAGTCAGTTAGTGGACCTAGGATCTAACACCAGCTCTGTGAGTTGCTAGTGATTTAACCACAAACTAAACGTTTGCAACCTCTAAGAATCCTTCAGCTACTAAAGTAGATACCAAGATTGCATAGATGAAGATGACAATATACTCTTGGAAAGTTCATCATTTCATAGAGATTCAAAGTGAACCTAAAATTACAATATTGTCTATAACAAGTATAATTATTGATAAATGTACAGGTATAGGGGATTTACATGTGGGGAGTGATATGAGGGAAGTCTTCAAATGAGAGCATTAGCCAAACTAGTTTTTAAAGGATGATTAGACATTTATCAGGCACTTTGGTGATGGGATAGCTGCTGGTGATAAGAATAGATCTTCTATTCAAAGGTAATAATATGTTAATCACCAAAGTGTCCATCAAAGGATGAATGGATAAATAAAATGTATGTATGTTTATATATATATAAAACACTGGAATACAATTTCGATTTAAAAAAGAAGGAAATTCTGTCCTTTGTGAAAACATGGATGATCCTGCAGGACATTCAATTAAGTGAAATAAGCCAGGAACAGAAAGACAAATACCACATGATTTCACTTATATGTGGAATCTGAAAAATTTGAACTCAAAGAAGTAGAGAGCAGAATGGTTGTTACCAGGGACTCTGGGTGGGTGTGGGGACTGTTTGGGGAGATGATGGCCAAATGAATACAAAATCTCAGATATGAGGAATAACTTCAAGAGATCCGCTGTATAACTTGATGACTGGAGTTAATAACGATGTATTGTATTCTTGAAAATTGCTAAGATAGAAGATTTTAAATATTCTCAAAACAGTATGTGGGATAAAACATATGTTAATTAGCTCAATTTAGCCATTCCACAATGTAAACATGTTTCAAAATAACATTGTATATATAATTTTTATCTATCAATGAATAAATAAAATTTTTAAAAAGAATGTAACTTAAACGTATTAAAAACAAAACAAATCAAAACAAACAAAACATCCAAGAATTAAAAATGGTTCACTAGAAAATGTCTATTTAAGCCAAAATCCATAATAAAACAGGACTAGAAGAACAAGAAAGACATTAGACATATAGAAAACAAATAGACTGTTACCTCGTGACATATACAAAAATAAGGCAAATTAAATCATAGATTTAAAAGTAGGAGCCCAAACTATAAAATGTTGAGAAGAAAATATAAGGGAAATCTTTCATAATTTTTGATTAAGACAATAGTTCTTGGATATATCAAAATCAAGATGTATGAAAGAATAGTAATGAAAAGTTAGAGTTCATCAAAATGAAAAATTTTGTGCTTCAAATGATATTAGAAAAATTTTAAAAAACACAGTCTTGGAGAAAATATTTATCAAACTTATATGTGAGAATGAACATGTACCCAGAACATATAATATCTTGTAGAACTACATACATGATCAAAAACCATTGTAACTATCAGCTAAATATTTAAATGGATATAAACAAATGGCTACTGAGCATAACAAATGTTCAATGTCATTAGTCATTAGGAAAATGCAAATTAAAGCCACAATGATACAACACTTTGTACTCATTTAGCAGATGATACTCATATACTCAGATGATAGACCATAAAGTGTCGAAGGGAATATAGAGAAATTGGAACCCATATATATTGCTGGTGAGAAATTACATGGTACACTTTGGAAAATGGTTTAGCAGTTGCTTAAAAAGTTAAACATAAACTTGCCACGTATCTCGACAGTTCTACTACCAAAGAAAAATGAAAACATACATCCTCATAGAGACACGTATGTGAATATTCGATGAATGAACCTCAAAAACACTGTAAGTGAAAGAGGCCAGACACAAAAGACTACCGATTGTGTGATTCTGTTTACATGAAATGTCCTGAAATATAGAGACAGAAAACGCAATGTGGCATCTGATGCTGGAGGAGAGAGTGGGGATTGATTGGAATTAATTGTGAGAGATCTTTTTGGCAAAATGGAAATGTGTGAACATTTCATTGTGGTCATGGCAGCACAATTTCATTAATTTACTAAAATGTATTGAATTGTACCTTTTGAAAAGGTGCCTTTTATATTTTACAAGTTATACTGTGATAAAGCTAGAAAACATAATGAGAGTTAATGTGAAGGATTGTTTTGAGGTATCACTGATATCAGGTGTGTGTAAAAGAATCAGGTATACCGCCTGTCCTCCCTTTTGTCTTGCATAATTGGATTATCTATTGAGATAGGGCCCTAATGTTGCAACAAAGAGCTGGAATTCAGTCTAAGGTTGGAAGAAATTACCAATGGGCCATCCACACAACAAAATAAAATAGAGTAGGGTTTTCTTCTTTTTTAATTTCAAAATATTAAGGGGGTACGAATGTTTTTGTTACATGGATACTTTGTATGATGCTTAAGTCAGGGCTTTAGAGTGCCCGTCACCAGAAGAGTGTTCCTTGTACCCAATGAGTAAGTTTTCACTCCTCACTCCCCTCCCAGCCTCCCTTTTTTGGTTTCCAATGTCCTTTGTATCTCTTTGTACCCCAATGTGTCCATTATTTTGCTCCCAATTATTAGTGAGCGTATGTGATTTCTTCTCTGTAAATTGAAAGCAGAGTTAAGGGACAGTATGGGTCAACATATCTAAATAATCTAGTCCACATGTATGAGCCAGGAGACTTATTCGAAACATTTATAGAAAGATTCAACCCCCCTTACGCATAATGTGCAGACTCCCACATGTGCACAAAGATAGTCTCTGCAGGGAATAAGAGCGTACAGCACCCAGGGATCCTGGAATGCTGTAAACCACTGGTTCTCAAATGTTAGCATGCGTTAAGGTTTCCCAGAGGGGCTTGTTGAAACACAGATTGCTGAACTCTATCTACGGAGTTTCCGATTCAATAGGTCTGGGATGGTGCCCGTGAATTTGCGTTTCTAACAAGTCCCTTGATAATGCTGATGCTGCTGGTCCGCGAAACACACACTGAGAAATTTACATGTGATACCAACATTACCCACTGCCTATGTTTATGAATTAATCGGTTTCATTTCAAAATTTAAAGTAACAATCCATATGGGTGAGGAAAGAGGGAAGACAGGATTTAAACAATAAAGTATGGTTTTCATTAGAGAAAGCATATACATTTTATTGTTAATGCCAAGGAATTCAATGTTTCATTGAAATAAATCTTGGAGATTTTGTCTCATTCCGTATAAAACTGGTAATTGTAATAAATTCCACCCACAGATGGAAAAGTGAGTACAAGTATAATGAGGAAATACAATTGAATCAACCTGTTAAAAGAGAGTTTTTTCTTACGTAATAAAACTAAAATGTTTTTACAAATTAAATTACTTTGTCCTTTAAAGAGGAAACTCAATTCCAGACACTATAAATGAGACTGTACTCTCCTCTCTACATTATCACACAGCTATTTGTAAGTCAACCAGTAACATTTGCTCCTCTTGTTTATAGCTATGGATACTTTGCCCATTAGCTCTAGTTTTCAACTGATTTAAGAGCAAGGGGAATGTCCGTGAATATTACAATTATTATAAATTTTTATAATCTTGAAAGATGAAGTCTAATTTATGCCTAGAGTGATCTGGTTTTAGAGGATGGCAAAT